AGGGAATTCCCACCTGAAGAGGATCTTATTTTTTCTCAACAGGGCCACCAAATCTCCAAAGTCTTGTCTTAAGTCCAAAAGATGTTTCGGTATGTCTTTGAAGATTTCCACTTTTGATTGCAGAATTATCAAAGGTTTCTGGTAGTGCAAACCCAAAATTTTGTCCCTTTCTTCTTTAGATCGGAGGGTAATCAGGCAATCCCTTATTTTAATCTTTTTGCCTCCTTTTCCTAGCCTGAAGGCCCTCACGATCTTAAAATCTTCTTGTTTCAATTCCAATTTCCAAAATTCTGCAAATTCTTGTGTCAAAAAATCTGTCAGGGTGCCCATCTCCAACTCTAACGCCATTACCGGAGGCGCCTCCCCGGAAGTCCACCCAAAGCGGATCTATCCGGTGTTTGGTCAGACGCATTCCGAGTTTTCCACCAAATGTTGCTCTCATCACCATCTCACTTTATTGACGTCATGATCTACAGAAATAAACCACAGAAAAAGTCCATATTGGCACATACCATTGCACAGCTTCCTTGTTCTTAATTCCTCTGGTTTCCACTTTTTAAAGAAAATGTACTACTCTAAATATTTCACCTATTGGCCTGCATAATTAAACACCCTGCTTTATCTCTTTAACCAATTAGAACAATGTCCCTCACAGATACAATAAATTTTATTAAATCATTTGATAAACATCTCTGTTTTCAGATGGATTAAAAATAAAAATACTGGTGAACAAACATTAATCAAAATATAGAAATGGTAAAAGAATCATCTATCATTGTTTGTTAAGCCAGATGCAAAGAGGATATTTAGCACCACTGTCGAATTTGCAAATATGACAGCAGATAATATATAGATTTAGGAATAGAATCTTTCCATGTGTGATTTGCATCTGAGCAAAAGCAACAACTGAATATAGCTCGTTCCTCTCGCTGCAAATTGTTCTGGTCTCAAAAGAAGGCAGACATATTCTGCTCTTCACTGCTCATATAAAAGCCTGCATAAGTAGCAGACTGGGCTAATATTACCCATTACCTTGAGAAAACACTTTTAGTTTGGGCCCAGAAAGATGTCTACCTTATTTCAATGGTTTGGCTTCGTTCTTCTGATTATTGAAACCCTCATAGGAATGGTGGGAAATGGATTTATTGCTGTCATTAACTTCACTGACTGGTTTAGCAGCAGAAAGCTATCCCCAGCTGACATGATCCTGAGTTGTCTTAGCTTGTTCAGATTTGCATTTCATGCAATTGGGATACAGAATGAAATTCTTCTTCATTTTTTCGTAGATAAATTTCTGATGAGGAACGTATATATTGCAAACAGTGCATCATGGACATTTGTTGACACTGCTAACCTTTGGTTTGCCGCTTGGCTCAGTGTTTTGTACTGTGTAAAGATTGCCAACTTCTCCCACCCTCTCTTCCTGCAAATGAAGCGGAGATTCCCTGGGCTGGTGCCTTGGCTGCTTCTGGGGACAGTGGTCTTCTCTGCAATCACCACCACCATCGAGGCAATAATGACCATTAGACTCATGTCTGAATGCAAGACAATTGAATCACTTCTAAGCAATAGCACTGACTCAGGAATGAAGACATCTGACTTTTGTAAGCATTCCATCCTTCTATATGTTGTTCCAGATTTCTTTCCCTTCATGATATTTTTGTTCTCATCCATCTTACTACTGACTTCTCTGTGGAGGCACAAAAATCTTCTACGAAACAGTGCAAGGGATGTGAGCACAGAAGCTCACCTGAATGCCATCAAAGCTCTGGCTTCTTTCTCCATTCTCTACGTATCTAGCTTTTTTGTGGAAATATGGGCAATGTTCTCGGCTTGGATGGGCATGAAAGTCATTGGGATGGAATTTTTGTTTACTAATGTGGTTGTTGCATATTCCTCTGGCCATGCCATTATCCTAATCTTCCTTAATCCCAAACTGAAACAGAAATCAGTCAAGATGCTACATCAACTAAAATGCCGGATGAAGCCACTATCTTAAAGGCTACCAATTTTACCAACTCTTTTGCAAGAACGATACTGTCTGCCTGTGGGTGTGCAGGTGCACACATGTGCTGAGGACACAGTTTAGCAGAAGTTCTGCTGCACAAGACTGCCAAGCCCTTGCAGACATAGAAGCGTAGAATCCTAGAATTGTCGAGTTGGAAGGGACCCCGAAGCTCATCTTGGCCACAGCTGTCCTTGGTTGGGTTCGAACCACCAGCCTTCTGACTAACAGCCAGATGCACTCACCCATTGCTCCCTTGACCCATTGTGCCATTCTGCTGGGTATGCCCTTGAAGTTAGGTTGGTAGTTTTAAGGAAATTCTTTGTTAAAAATGAAGATTTAAAATAATGTTATAAATGGGGGGCTCCTCATAATCTCTACATTCAGTGAAGGGTCGGTGTGATGGGCTGGGATTTAGACTCGGATGCTGAACCTGAGGGATCCCAGCCTGCACAGGATTCCCCGCCTCCAGATCCAGCTGAGCCGGGGCTGGGGCATGAGCCTGAAGGGTCCTCACCTGTGCTGGATCCTGAGGTGCAGGCATCAGCTGAGTCTGTTCTGGCTCCTGAGGTGATGGAGGACCCATTGCCTGCAGTTGTTCCATTCTCAGCCCCGTCAGAAGAAGCTGAGGTTGCCTCTGGGTCCGGTAACCCTCCAGCCTCTACTGAGCTGTAGAGGCTCAGGGCAGAGAGTCGGAGGGAACTAAGTTCCCGCAGGAGGAGTGCTCGCCTCCAGGCCAGGAGAGGCGACTCACCAGAGGATTGGGGCCGTCCTATGCCTCAGGGCAGATAAAAGCCGGCCAGCCCCAGTCCCAAGTTGCTGGAGCCACATTGTGGGTTGCTAGTTCCTGCCTGAACCCTGTCCTGCTTTCCTTCCTGAGCTCCTGACCTGCCCTGGCTCCCTGCTTGCAAGCCTGTTCCTGACTTCACCCGACTCCCTGCCCTGCACCCAGCTTCAGCTACTACGGACTGCCTCCACGTTGCACCTTTGACCATGGACCGGATTTGGACCTTGCCTCTCGGGTAACCCATGGGACCAGCACAGTCAGTGTTCATGTATTCCTGGACTAAGCAAGGAATAACACCGGCTAACATTCTCATGGGGCCATCCTGATGATGGTGGGACATTGAAGAAACAATGCAGCTGATGGTCAGCCATTAGCCCCTCAAGGGAACCAGACAGAAGGCTCAGCCAGACACAGAGGGAGGTTACCAGGGTAAGATCGGTGCATGATGTCACCACAGGAAGAGGGGTCTTACAAGAGAGGTTTTGAGAGCAGGGGTTTCTGGGAAGAAGAATCAGGAAGTGGGGAGAACTCCAGGTGGGGACGGAAGGGCAGCTGCCATGATGGCTGGCTGGAGCTGTTACACATGTGGGTGGTGCTTTAGATGCCTCTGAATCCAGTGTTGGGAAGGACAATCTTGAGATGTTAAATAGTGGTGAACATTAATCAAAATATAGAAATGGTAAAAGAATCATCTATCATTGTTTGTTAAGCCAGATGCAAAGAGGATATTTAGCACCACTGTCGAATTTGCAAATATGACAGCAGATAATATGATATAGATTTAGGAAGAGAATATTTCCAGGTGTGATTTGCATCTGAGTAAAATCAACCACTGAAAATAGCTCAGTCCTCTCCCTGCAAATAGTTCTGGTCTTGAAAGAAGGCAGAAGTATTCTGCTCCCCACTGGTCATATAAAGAGCAGCATCAGCCTCTGCTAATATTACACATTACACTGGAAGAAACGCTTCTATTTCATGCTTAGAAAGATGCCTACCTTATTTGAATTGTTTGGCTTCGTTCTTCTGGTTATTGAAACCCTCATAGGAATGGTGGGAAATGGATTTATTGCTATCGTTAACTTCATTGACTGGTTTAGCAGCAGAAAACTATCCCCAGCCGACATGATCCTGAGTTGTCTTAGCTTGTTCAGATTTGCATTTCATGCAATTGGGATACAGAATGCAATTCTTCTCCTTTTTTTCAGAGATATTTTTCAGATGAGGAACGTATATATTGCAAACAGTGCATCATGGACATTTGTTAATACTGCTAACCTTTGGTTTGCCGCTTTGCTCAGTGTTTTGTACTGTGTAAAAATTGCTAACTTCTCTCACCCTCTCTTCCTGCAAATGAAGCGGAGATTCTCTGGGCTGGTGCCTTGGCTGCTTCTGGGGACAGTGGTCTTCTCTGCAATCACCACCACCATCAAGGCAATAATGGGCAGTAGACTCAAGTCTGAATGCAATACATTTGAATCACTTCTAAGCAATAACACTGACTCAGGAATGAAGACATCTGACTTTTGTAAGCATTCCATCCTTCTATATGTTGTTCCAGATTTCCTTCCCTTCTTGATATTTTTGTTCTCATCCATCTTACTACTGACTTCTCTGTGGAGGCACAAAAATCTTCTACAAAACAGTACAAGGGATGTCAGCACAGAAGTTCACCTGAATGCCATCAAAGCTCTGGCTTCTTTCTCCATTCTCTATGTATCTAGCTTTTTTGTGGAAAGAATGTCAGTGCTCTTCTCTTGGAATGGCATGCAAGGCATTGGGATGCACCTTTTGCTTACTAATGCGGTTGTTGCATATTCCTCTGGCCATGCCATTATCCTGATCGTCATTAATCCCAAACTGAAACAGGAATCAGTCAAGATGCTACATCAACTAAAATGCTGAATGACGCCACCACCTCAAAGGCTACCAAGACGTTATGGAAGTGGCATCCCCATTTACAAGAACAATGCTGCCTATCTCTCTGTTCGCTACCAATTCTGCCTTCTCTTTTGCAAGAACTATATTGTCTGCCTGTGGGTGAGCAGGTTCATGCATGTGCTGAGGACACAGTTTAGCAGAATTTCTGCTGCATAAGACTGCCAAGCCCTTGCAGACATAGAACCCTAGAATCCTAGAATTGTCAAGTTGGAAGTGACCTTGAGAAGCATCAAGTCCAACCCGTTGCAGTACAGGAATCCTGTCCACAGCTGTCCCTGGGTGGGTTCGAACCACCAACCTCCTGGTTAACAGCCAGATGCTCTCACCGATTGGACTCACTGACCCATTGTGTCATTCTGTGGGATATGCCATTCTGCCAGGTAGAAGTCTGCATTTGTTTTTATACTCTGTTGCAAAGGTTCTGGTACCGTGTACCCTTGAGCCCCTCTTATGCCCCAAATTATGTGTGCCCAGCGGCGCATGTGATTCAACATGACATCATAATTTCATGTTACAATGTGACGCCACGGTGTCACATTACGTCATGTGCACCACAGCGGCACCTGAGACCCCTGGAAGTTGTGTCCAAAGTTTCTTCTGGGGGAAACCGGAAGCCACATCGGAGGCCTTGCGAGGCCTCAGACACGATCTCTGAGGTCCCACAAGGCCTTCGATGCAAATTTTGGACACAACTTCCAGTTTCTCCGGAAAGTCACATTGGAGGCCTCGTGAAGCTTTGCACAATATCTTCAAGGCCCTGCAAGGCCTCGGATATGGATTCCAAGGCCCTATGAGGCCTCTGATTTGACTTTTGAGGCCCCACAAAGCATCAGAAGTTGCATCAAAGGCCCCACATTTTGGGTGCTGAGCACCAACCGAAAAAATGTTGTGGGTGTATGGGCCCCCAACACCCCCTTTGTTTGCCCTAGAGTGCCCCCCAGAAAAAACCACTGGTGTTTACTATGTTTGCTTAATGATTTATGTGGAAACTGAACAGCAATCATTCCAGCAGTTAATGTTCCACTTCAGTTCCATCTTTTGCTATCAGATAGCCATATTAACGTTCTTCAAATTATTTACACATTTTGAGGTGGCTGGTGTATGAATAATCAGAGCTGTAAAATTGTTGGCGTTTCTTAATGTCTATGACCCTTTCCTTAAATGGTCAATTCACTTGTGGAATATATGCCTCAAAGAGAGCAAGCAACATGGAAATGAGAATGGAAAGAGTGAGCTGAAAGTGGGGAATCCAGCCTTTGTGTGTGGTGGACCTTCAACTTGAACACCCTGGTTTTCTTCGGATGCTAAATATCATACTGGCATCTGGCATCTGGCTTGTTATAAGAATTTTAAGGTTACACACACACACACACACACACACACACACACAGTATATATATATATATATAATGTTCATAAATGTACCAAGCAAGCACATACATAAATGTATAGACCACATGTCTGAGACCCACAGAAAAAATCCTGAAACCATTTGTCTCTTCCAAATTGACCTCAAATATTTCTCTGCAAGGTCAAAGGAAATGGGAACCTCCCCATTGTCTCTTTGCTCACAAATCCTGTCTCAAGAGCACAGTTAAGACATGAATAGGGTAAGCCTGTGACCTGGATTCAGGATTTGAGTAGTTATTATAACAAAAGAGTGCCCAGGATGCCCAGATAATCCAATCAGGTAACCTGGCAGACAGGATAAAAACGCACTCAGATTTCTGTTGTAGTCCACCCCTTCTCTGATGTACTGGGGGGTTGGTCTTGCGCTACACCCCTTCTGTGATGTATGTATGATGTATGGAGGGGTGGTCTTGGGCTCCAGCGTGGGCAGTTGACAAGTCTATATAAGGGCTTGCACACATGGTTTGGTGTCCTCCTCCTCTGTCCTGCATGTGGGGGGAGACCCTGTTGCAACAGCTTTAATAAAGATCATACTTACTAGCTGCTTTGCTTCTCAATATTCTCTGGTTGGCCTCTGTTATTTTCTCCTACCAATGGAGAACCTACAAAGGACTCTATAAGGGCTCTTGTGTACAGTGGTACCTTGGGTTACATATGCTTCAGGTTACAGACTCCGCTAACCCAGAAATAGTACCTCGGGTTAAGAACTTTGCTTCAGGATGAGAACAGAAATTATGCTGCTGCGGCGCGGCAGCAGCAGGAGGCCCAATTAGCTAAAGTGGTGCTTCAGGTTAAGAACAGTTTCAGGTTAAGAACGGACCTCCAGAACAAATTAAGTACGTAACCAGAGGTTCCATTGTACCCCACAAGGGAAAGAGAGCAGTTTTTGTTTACAACAGGCTTAACAAAGAATGATATCATTCTTTGTTAAGCCAGATGCCAATATGATATTTAGCACCACTGTGGATTTTGCAAATATCAGAAGAGATGATATTGAATTACTAAGAATGCTTCCAGGTGTGATTTGCATCTGAACAGAATCAACAAATAAAAATAGCTCCCTTCACTCTCTACCAGTGTGGTGTAGTGGTTAAGAGCGGTAGTCTCGTAATCTGGTGAACCAGGTTCGCGTCTCCGCTCCTCCACATGCAGCTGCTGGGTGACCTTGGGCTAGTCACACTTCTCTGAAGTCTCTCAGCCCCACTAACTTCACAGAGTGTTTGTTGTGGGGGAGGAAGGGAAAGGTTGTTAGCCACTTTGAGACTCCTTCGGCTTGTGATAAAGCGGGATATCAAATCAAAATTCTTCTTGTTCTTGTTCTTCAGCTTCCCGATCTACACAGAAGGTTTCTACATTGCTCAAATAAATAAAGGGCAGCATCAGTAACACACAGTGCAAATTTAACATATTACAGTGGGGGAAAACACTGTTATTTTGTACTTACAAAGATGTCTACCTTACTTGAATTGTTCAGCTTTGTCCTTCTCGTTTTTGTGACCTTCACAGGAATGGTGGGAAATGGATTTATTGCTATAGTTAACTTCCTTGACTGGTTTAGAAGCCGAAAACTATCCCCAGCCGACATGATCCTGAGTTGTCTTGGCTTGTTCAGATTTGCATTTCTTGCCATTGTGATACAGACGGCTATTTTTCTCCTCTTTTTCAAGGACACTTTTCAGAAGAGGGACGTATTTATTGCATTTGATGCCTCATGGCTGTTTGTTAATACTGCTGACGTTTGGTTTGCCACTTGGCTCAGTGTTTTGTACTGTGTAAAATTACAAACTTCTCCCACCCTCTCTTCCAGCAAATGAAGCGGAGATTCCCTGGGCTGGTGCCTTGGCTGCTTCTGGGGACAGTGTTCTTCTCTGCAATTGTCACCACTGTCACAGTAACAGGCAGTACTGTCATATCTAAATGTAGATTATTTGAATCACATCTAAGCAATAACAGTAATTCGGGAAATGTAATGTCTGACTTCTGTAAGTATCTCATCCATCTTTATATTGTTCCAGATTTCTTTTCCTTTGTGGTATTTTTGTCCTCATCTGTCTTAGTGCTAACTTCCCTGTGGAGGCACAAAAATCTTCTACAAAACAGCGCAAGGGATGTCAGCACAGAAGTTCACCTGAATGCCATCAAAGCTCTGGCTTCTTTCTCCATTCTCTACGTATCCAGTTTTTGTGTGGAGCTTTTGGACATAGTCCTGTCCTTTATGGACATTAAAGATGACTGGGTAACAATAAATTTGTTTAATGTGGTTGCTGCATATTCCTCTGGCCATGCCGTTATCTTGATCTTCGTGAATCCTAAACTGAAACAGGAATCAATCAAGATGCTACATCAACTGCAATGCTGAATAAAGACACCATCTTAAAGGCTACCAGGACCTTATGGAAGTGGCATCCTCATTTGGAAGAACAATACAGTGGTACCTTGGGTTACAGATGCTTCAGGTTACAGACACTTCAGGTTACAGACTCCGCTAACCCAGAAATAGTACCTTGGATTAAGAACTTTACTTCAGGACGAGAACAGAAGTCACGCAGCGGCAGCATGAGGCCCCATTAGCTAAAGTGGTACCTCAGGCTAAGAACAGTTTCAGGTTAAGAACGGACCTCCAGAACGAATTAGGTTCTTATCCCAAGGTACCACTGTACTGCCTGTCTCTCTGTTGGTGTGCATGTGCACATATACACTGAGGACAGTCTACCAGATGCTTTCCTGGTCAAGACTGGCAAGCCATTGGAAGGAAGTTTGCACAGGAGAACTTCCTGCTGCGTATGCCCTCGAAGTCTGCATTTTATGATACTATATGTACTCTGTTTGCTTAATGATTCACTATTATGTCAAAACTGAACACCTATTATCATGCCAAAGGAATTTCCAGATCGCAACCTTGCCTGTAAAATGGCCCATCACAGGGAGGTTGACAAACAGTGCCTCTCCAGAGAAGGGTCCAGCTACGTCGGCAGGCATTGCTTGGGTCTGCACCAGGGGAATAAATAGTGCATCTGGCAGGGCCCCTGCAGCCAGCTGGCAGAGATGCTGAGTTCTGCCTGACATCGGGAGCCTCTGGCGTGTGTGTGTGACATCACATGTGTCAGGAGGAGACCGTGAGGCACTATGAGGCTCAACGCCACCCTGGGGATGCCTGGGGAGGCCTGGCCCCTCAAGATTGGGGGGAGGGCTTCACCCTGTGCCCACATCTTTGGGATATGTGCTGCAACAGAAAAATGTGGCTTGAAATGCAGTGGGAGGCGGGAATAACCTTGCTGCATTTTAAACCGTGAATGTGTATGTAGCCAACTCTTTGAAATGGGCTGGGGCTGGGAGAGAGACAGAGAGTGGACAGATAGCTGCTCTCTGAAAGGAGCTGATGGTGCTGGCCATCTCTCTGAAAGTCTGATTGGGGAGCCAAGAGCTATGAGACACGTTAGGGTGTTTAATGCTAGGCTTACACCTGTCTTCTGCCTCCATCTTTCTAAATAATAAAATACCAGCAAGCTCCGACTGACTTCATTACAAAGGTATCAAACCATGAAAGCACTAGAACCTCTGAAACGACTCACTGCTTGGATACTTCATGTGTTTTTAACCTTATATGTCTAAATAAAATAGCTATTGCAAAGTCACTTTCCTTTTCTCTCTTTTTACTCACACAGTATTTGCACCGTATTCAGTGTTTACTCACACTGTATTCACACAGTGAATAGTAGACCCCATTTTCATGCACAATAAAAGGTCACAGTCTATCAATATGTCAGCAGTTTTAAGCATATTTTTTTTTAATGAAGATTTAAAATAAAGTAGAGGGAATAGCAAAGGGAGACGGAGGGCCAATGCCTGTTTTAGTAAATTTTTTTGGTTATTTAATAGCATTTTAATAATTTTTGTTTTGAATAGGTACCGTATTTTTCGCTCCATAAGACG